TTCCTATGAAAATGCAAGCGGAATAATGAACGTGACAACTTAAAAACTAGAAATAATTATAGTCTACATATGCAAGAAGTAGTTTATGCAAGAAAACAAGACGCCGACTCGGCGTTAACCTCGGGTCGGTGGATAGGGGATCGTCTGGTAAATATCCAAAAATTGTGTAAATCACGATAGTTTAATAGTTCACTAGTATAAATGGTGAATCAGTTAATCAAAGCTCCGTTTTAATATTTTATTGACAATAATTACTGGCCGTCATCAAACCTATTGTTTTCTCTCTGCATTATATCAGCGAATGTCGAGAAGTTTTCATTTAACGTTCTACTGAAAAACGGGAGCGGCCTTTTTGGTTGTATAGGGAAATTCCGGCTCAGAGGTAAATGTTTATACGCGTCATATTCTATGTACGCGTTAAAATAGCACACAACATTATTAAAAATAATGCAGCGTGCATCAGTGCACAGACATAATGAGACATTATTAGCAATAATGCATCTTCGTCACCCTGACATGTACACGCGATAACGTGAACATCCCAAGATGAGGTGACAGTGCTAAACGCCCCCCATACGGTGTCGTCGGGTGCCTGAAGCACTGTTGGAAACGGTCGCTGCGAGTCTTTTCAGTTCAATTTTATAGAGAAATAGTTTCGTTTGCGCTTGTGGGATTTTATCCTAGATATACGCATGTGCAGAATACACCATAAGTTCTATTCCCGTGTTTATCCAATACGCTATTTGAGCAAACCTTATCATTAATGATAATATGTAAACTAGAACACTATAATTGACCTCCGCTTGTGCATGGACATTTTAATTTAGGGCGATTAATTAAACTGAAATCTGTTCTATCACAATGCACTACAGTGCCTATGGTTATGTCTATATGCATGTCCTCACAAATGTCTAGTGTAACGTTGGATAGGTTCATTGTCATACGGTCCCGACAAGCAGCAACGTACAGTAGTCTTCCAGCCGAAAATAATTACTTTTGATTCGGGTCAGTAATTATAATAGATAACAAGTGAAAGTTGGCCGCGGTATTCCCATGCTATGCATACGATGTATTGTACATTATATCAACATATACTCGAGAATAGTTGTCCAGCTAAACATGTATGTCAAAATTATCACATCTTCTGGTTTTAAATCAACAATTCTGACGGATTTTGTGCAAGGATAGCTTCGGGTTCCGTTTCGCTTAGGCCGATGTTTGCCGGAAGTACACTTATTTACCGGAAGTTGTCGTCTCCTCCGCAGGCCCTTCGATCTTCGACTACGCGCGCGGCTCGACACAAATGAAAAACAAAAAAAACAATAAAAAAAAATAGGAGCCGAATTTAAGACCTCGGTGTCGTACCGACCCGAGGTAATAAACCAAAAGTGACTGTCGTTTTTATATTTCATCCACGGAATGCTATAGCATGGATACATGTTGTATATAAAATCTGACTTGGGTATATTTTGCCTCACTGCTTATATATATATATATATATATATATATATATATATATATATATATATATATATATATATATATATATATATATATATATATATATATATAAATAAAATAGAATATGGCTGTCTATAAACAACAAGCAGTGTTATTTTTAAGTTTACGTTTTATATTGATGTGGGGCGGGGGGTGGTGGAAAGTAAAAACAAAAAAGTAAACTACAATAAACAGTAGCTAAAGCAGATAGTTAAAGCAGATCCTTTGTAAATGATGTCCTACACTGCGTGGAAATGAACGTAATCTTGATTGATTGATTCTAGTTTAATTTTCTGTAGAGGTTTTGTTTTGCTCAAAAGTACAGCTTCAATGATGAAGAATGACTGTAACAGTTTATTCATATTCAATTTATCTCGTTTTTAAAAAATATTTTGACGTTGTGACGTCACCATGAGACCGTGTCAAGAAAGTCTGATATCTTTGATGATAACTTAATAGAATTTAGTCAAAATTGGCATGTTTAATGGGTGCACCTGCAAGTGAACAGTTCGGATTATTTATGTTTTGTCATAATAAATAATTAGTCCCCACTCTTTACTTGTTTAGCTTCTCTTCTTTTTTACAAATTCCTCCTGTAGACTTTAGTTTACTCGTTTCAATGGTTTGCAATTATCACAACACCTATGAATACTATCGTAATAAGCGGGAATTGCAGAAATTGGTTTTTATTTCGCTGGAAATGGTGGAAATGAACACCGCGGGAAAACATCTGCTCAATGCCAAATTGTAAACTTTTAACTGAAAACATTGCAGCTATTTAATTATTTAAGGTAATTGATACAAACAAAAAAATACATTAGATGGGTAGTTTAGATATTAATAAAAAGTTTTCTAACATTAAAAATCTAAAAAGAAACAGAATTTAAATTAAAAATTACCGTTTAAATTAAGACCAAGAGGCGTGTGAACATTTCTTGAAGAATTGTCGAATACCAAACTTATGAACCTACGAAAAATATCTTTGTATCGTTCAGTTAAAGAACATTTTATAATTTATACAATAAATTTATCGACAGTCACGTTGGTTTATTTCCTTGCATAAACTACTTCTTGCATATGTAGACTATTAATATAATTATTTCTAGTTTTTAGGTTGTCACGTTCATTATTCCGCTTGCATTTTCATAGGAAAGGCAAAACATCGAAGTCGCTCCTTGTCGCTTCCATTTTCAGTTTTTGACAGTTTTTATTTTGCTCATGTACATACATCGTTTTCTTATTTGTAGCATATGTAGAAGAGGGTCACCTGTTTGTTAGTTTCGTAACAGGAGAGTCCAGCAAAATGTCTAGCGTAAAGTGTAAACATATACATGTTCCAACTCATGTACTTTTATTGTATTTACCTAGCTTTAATTCTATTAGTTTACATATGCAGAGAAAGCATTAAACAAATATGAGAAATTATAAGACTCCAAAAGCTTACAGACAGACATATTAAATATACATTCAGTAACAACACGCAAATTGCTATAAATAGCAACGTTACAGTCTAGTAATATAATATGGGCCAATATGATGATTTGTTGTGCTTTTGTTGTAAGTATAGGCCTATCACTAAAATATCTTGAAAATCCTTCTAAACGTTTCTTTATAAAGTATACAAAGCATATACATTGATATCGAAACACAAAATTCAAAGTTTTGAACAATTTGAGCTTCGTGACTTTGTATAGCATAGGCCTAATCTAATGATTTAATTGTGTTACATTCCACTGGAAGTCACCAAAATGAGCTTTTTTAAAAGTCTCGTGTGAGGCTCCAAGGCAATAACCCAAGCTAGTTTTTATATATAACATGTCCTCATGCTATACCATTCTGTGGATGAAATATAAACAAATTCACGATTATCGCACATAGTAAATTTCCCCTTCAAATCCAGTGGCAAAATGCCAAAATGCAATTCTAAAATTTGACTAAAAATAACCAATTTCAACGACGTCTGTCAGGCCAGTTAAAGCCTCCTGGACCATTCTATGTTGATAACAATGTTCTTTAATACATGAATTATAGTCATTATACTATCAGAACTATCTACGGGCAGTTTTGAATCCGTCGCGAAGTGATGAAATTGACCATGGCAACAACTTGTCTGCAGCTAATTATAGCCTTCCTGAGACAAATTCTTGATTTCTGATATTTGTACGTTTATCGACCAAATATTGAATATCTAACCCAAACACCATTTATAACTAGGTATTATCTAAATTTAAGCAAAATATAAAAGAAATCTATTTTTCATCTATTGCCACTGTTTGCTCGATTTTTACGGACAGTCGCTCTTAAGGTAATACGAATTTGCATAACTAAGTGTATCCCGATGGATAGATAGGGATTATTTTTAACGCAGGTGTATACCTTAAAATCAGGCGCGTAGCTCTGCGGGTACATGCATATATTAAACTACAACATATTTGTACACGGATCTTTTCGCGCGGGCGGAAAGAGCGGGCTTTGCAGGTAAATGTTTGCACAATATTTCAGTTTTAGAATACATTTACTTCTTCAAAATGTTTTACAAAATTTAGTAAGGTCTACTTCTAAGAGCGTAACGTCTAGGTGTTTTTGTTATTTTTAAAGAGTTCTCATATTCTTGTCTATCTTAGCTTGTGGGGATAACTTTGCAAGTTTTTCTGGCTTCATTAGAATATATTTCGGTCTATCGCTCAATATAAAAGTTCATAATCCTCTCTTGCTTCCGGGAGTCATTCGCGCTACGTCACGTTCGGTCCAATCTGCTGGGTCTTTTATTTGTCCATTTTTGGTGTGAACTCCAATCCGCTTGCCTTGCTGTTAGACATACCATACGAACATAGCTCGCAGAAACCAATGACATGCGAGAACAGTAGAGGTGACTGTTCATCACATATCATACATTGAGCGTCTTTTCCCCAGTAGAAATCTTTCCACGAACATCTTGGGCACTTCATTAAGTATACAATGTGACCAGTCTCTTCTGGCTAGTTTCTCGGGCTCACCATCATCCTCATTATCATCATCTCATTATCATCATATTCGCTTTCATTATCACTCTTGTCAGATTCCCTGTTCTCTTCACCAGATTCGCTTTCAACATCACTCTCAGATTGTGGCATTTCATGTTCCTCCTTTGCCATTTTTGACAATAACTACTCGTTTTTATTTAAATCTTTATTAACCCCTGCTTCTACTAGACCTTTTGTAAACAGGTCGAGCCCTCGTGGTTCAGGAATGTGAGAGTTGTATGGTAAAAGTGCGTATTGTAAAAAGTTCTCGATGTTAGTACCAGGAATGTCTCTTCCATGATAAACAATCTCACCCTGAGGATTCCAAGTTAAAATATCACTTGATATAAGAATAGAATGTAGCATTTTTTCTGCTGTAGTTTTTTTGACATTATTGTTCAGATACAAAAGTATATCTTCAATGCGCCAATGTCGCGGAGATGTTTTACTCTCGATGTTCATTGTTGAAATGATGTATAATTTGTAGTCACAGGGCTTTTATACAAGTTCAGCCAGGCTTTCCAAAATAGGACTTAGTAATAGTCCAAGGAAACCTTCACCATGTTGAACGAGTATCCGTATTTTTCTTCTTCCACATTTTCCTCTATCTACCAACCTAAGCATTTCATGTTTGTAAGGTCGGAGTTTCTTCATTACATGCTTCGACATTAAATATTTTCTTTTCATAACGTTTTCTACACAGAGACACAGGCAGTGTACTTGCCCGGCGGTTGCTGTTTCCAGTAGTGCTTTTTGTTGATCAGGCTCAGACGTGCCCAACAATTCAAGAAATGGTTTGTGCCTTCGAAGATTGATCATTTCTGTTCGACGGTTTGGAAGCAAATGAGTAAAACACAACAATAAGGAAGCTTATATCGGAAGAGAGAAAGTAATTTAGACAAGGTTCCGAGCCTAAGGAGCTCGGAGCTGACTCCGAACCTAAGGAGCTGGCTCCGAGCCTAAGGTGCTCGGCTCCGAGCCTAAGGAGCTGGCTCCGAGCCTAAGGAGCTCGGATCCGAGCCTAAGGAGCTGGCTCCGAGCCTAAGGAGTTCGGCTCCGAGCCTAAGGAGCTGGTTCCGAGCCTAAGGAGTTCGGCTCCGAGCCTAAGGAGCTGGCTCCCAGCCTAATGTGCTCGGCTCCGAGCCTAAGGAGCTGGCTCCGAGCCTAAGTAGCTGGCTCCGAGCCTAAGGAGCTGGCTCCGGGGCTAAGGAGCTGGCTCCGAGCCTAAGGAGCTCGGCTTCGAGCCTAAGGAGCTGGCTCCGAGCCTAAGGTGCTCGTCTCCGAGCCTAAGGAGCTGACTCCGAGCCTAAGGAGCTGGCTCTGAGCCTAAGGAGCTGGCTCCAAGCCCAAGGAGCTCGGCTCCGAGCCTAAGGAGCTGGCTCCGAGCCTAAGGAGCTGGCTTCAAGCCGAAGGAGCTTGGGTCCGAGACTAGGGAGTTGGCTACGAGATACTAGTTTTATAAACTCGGTTTCTATCTGAGAGATTTATTATCTAACTATTCGTCATAGAGTAAACATGTCTCATTCATGTCATATCTGTGGGAAATATTTCTCTAAACCATTCAATTTAAATCGACACAAACAAAAAGTGCATGATCAAAAACTAACCGACAACATTCGCATGACGACTAATGGATCTGCAGTTTTGCAACACCCATTTACGTGCATCGTAGCTGGGTGTACCCAAAGCGGCGAAACTGTATGGGTAAAATCTCTCTTGGAGAATGCACAGAAAACTATAAGTCCTGCTCCTCAACGTATCATTTGGTGTTATGGTCAATGGCAACCCCCCTATTTTGATATGATGAGAACGATGCCTGGAATCGAGTTTAATCAGGGCATCCCCGAAGACATCGACAACGCAGATTACTTGGACGTATCGCAACGGAATTTGATCGTATTGGACGACCTTATGGCTCAATCTGGCAAAGATAAACGTATTTCTGATCTTTTTACGAAAGGAAGTCATCATCGGAATTTATCTATCATCTATATTGTTCAAAATATATTTCATCAAGGCAAAGAAATGAGAAATATCAGCCTAAACGCCCATTATATCGTGTTGTTCAAGTCACCAAGAGATAAACAACAAATTTCTATGCTTGCAAGGCAAATAAATTCCGGAAAAGTACAAGAATTTATGAGGAGTTATGAAGATGCTACGAGCCGACCTCATGGGTATTTGATGTTGGATTTAAAGCCAAGAACAGATGATCATCAACGACTCAAGACCAACATACTTCCCGGTGAGATTGAAAAGTTTATACAAAAACAGTCGTATCGACAACCACCACTTGTAAATGCCATGTATGATGCCGAGCAGCGAATGAAAGAAATCATGGATGCAACACAGCTTAGCGCAGTGGAAAAAAGCAAATTATATTCGGATCAACTAAATCGGTTTCTCACATTCAAAAATAAGATGGATGTCCAAGCTCAAGCTCCTGTTCAGACAACTCCACTAGTGCCTGCAGAAATACCACCACCCAATGGATTTGTTGAGATAGCACCATCAGTGCCTGCTACTCCTAAACCTAATTTCCTTACACCACCACCACCAACAGAAGAGGAACGGCCAAAACTCAAGCGCAATTTTTTTCACAATTGGGTCGACCCAGCAGATTGGACCGAACGTGACATAGCGCGAATGACTCCGGAAGCAAGAGAGGATTATGAACGTTTTATATTGAGCGATAGACCGAAATATATTCCAATGAAGCCGGAAAAACTTGCAAAGTTATCCCCAGAAGATAGACAAGAATATGAGAACTCTTTAAAAATAACAAAAACACTCAGACGTTACGCTCTTAGAAGTAGACCTTACTAAATTTTGTAAAACAATTTGAAGAAGTAAATGTATTCTAAAACTGAAATATTGTGCAAACATTTACCTGGAAAGCCCGCTCTTTCCGCCCGCGCGAAAAGATCCGTGTACAAATATGTTGTAGTTTAATATATGCATGTACCCGCAAAGCAACGCGCCGGATTTTAAGGTATACACCTGCGTTAAAAATAATCCCTATCTATCCATCGGGATACACTTAGTTATGCAAATTCGTATTACCTTAATCCCCTTAATTACCTACACGCCTCCTAATGACTTAGCAACGCATAACAACGCAACATTTGCAAAGTTTAAAACATGTTTATTGATACAAATAACAGACGATAGTGTCAAAAAATATTACAACTGTTCTAATTCTAACTTCTACTCTTGATGAGCTTTCTTATGATTATCTGAACAGTATATATGTATGTAGGAGGATTGCTAAATAATCTTGAACAACATGCAAATATTGACCATAACAACGACGTTGACAACTCGGGATTAGGAACTGTTTAGTTTAAAATATGTCTTGATTTTTGTGACGAATAGATTCCTCGCTATGGAACACACAAAAAATCCTTTAATATACATGTGGAAATTTATCTCTTCCGAGCAAAGATACGGCTATAACTCTGCCTTATATTAATTTCGATAATAATTTTGCCATGGGCAGGGACACAAACCAATCATAGTAAGCCAAGATTAATCCCTCTGTTGTATCACACATGTGTGGGGCGCTAAAAAAATGCTTAGTCAGCAAGTTTCACCTGATCGTGTTTAAGCTCGCCCGCGTGACGTCATTGTATATAATTATGACGTATGCTAATGAGTGTTGTCACTACGCACCCTCATTTCTCCTCACTCCTCCTCCTCACTGCTCAATCCTCCTCCTCACACCTCCTCCTCACTCCTCCTCCTTACTCCTCACTCCTCAATCCTCCTCCTCAATCCTCCTCCTCACTCCTCCTCCTGCCTCCTCCGCAGGCCCTCGTTGCGTCATGGGAAGGTCACGATCTGGCGAGGGCCTGCGGAATCTTGTAAAAAAGATGGCGCCGGCGTCACGTCAGCAAGTAAATTTCTACATATCTTGAATATAAACAGATATAAAAAAGCGGTGTGAAACTTATAAATTAAACTGGCGACTCTTAGGACGTGGAAGGAAGCATTTTTTAACGATAAGGTTTGTTGTCCACACCAACGTTGCACGAATAAAACTGCCTTCTTTAACGAAGCAGGTTCAAAACAACATTTATTCATTTTACAAGATTCCGCAGGCCCTCTCGAAATCGTGACCTTCCCATGACACAACGAGGGCCTGCGGAGGAGGCAGCTCCTCCTCCTCACTCCTCAATCCTCCTGCTCACTTCTGCCCCTCAAAAATCCGGGTCGAACGGTACCTATATTACTACTTGCATGCTTAGTTCCACATCTATTACAAACAAATAGCAACTCACTTCGAGTGGGTTTCTTTACGACGTGAACTTCCGGTTCACTTGGATCAACATTTTGCTTCCGAAGCTCTTTGAGCTGTTTCGCACTTTCTTCCGCCGCTCGGCACAAACTTGCAGCTTTTTCAAGAGTGAGTTCAGACGATTCACGAAGCAATCGTTCTTTTAATCGAATATCACTCACCCCAAATACTATACGATCTCGAACCATGCTGTCCGTTTGATCACCAAATTCACATGACTTAGCTCGTGTTTTCAACTCCGTTATAAATTGGTCGATTGTTTCACCTTCTTGTTGTTTGCATTCCCAGAATTTATATCGTTCAAATACAGTATTCTTTCGAGGATTTACAAAATCTTCAAATTTCTTCTTCAACACGCTGCAGTCATGGACGAAGGTCATGCACTCTTGAGCTCCGATAATATAGATTTTGAATTGGCTGATAAGACCTCAACTAATGTTGTAGATCAAGCAAAACACACAAATGGTACGTCAAAGTATCTTGTTGTAAATGACAAGAACAAATTCAAATGGATAGGCCCTTTTGAAGGTCTCAAAAATTTGATGAACGAATTGACCGGCAAAGAAACAAAATGGTCGTCTCCCGGCGGCTATTGTAAGTTGCTTGAGCTGAATGAAGTTGTTGTAAGATGGTATTCAGATAGTAACTCACTTACAATTAATGGAAAGTTGTGTGATGAGTTTAAGACTCAACTTATTGATCTCAACAAACAGCTACAGTTAGAATCCGAAGACACAAATGCTGCCTGTGTCTCTGGTAATGGCGAAATATCAATCAACTTTGATGAGGAAGTAGCAAGTAACGAAAGCGAGAATCAAATTTCCAGTGGTCAGTTAAACGAGTATGAATCATTGCTTAATACCGTAAGAAGCCTTGAGGCGAAGTTGGAAAGTAGGATAAATGATCTCGCAAGCGAAGTGCACGAGACTAGACTAGAATTACAAGTCGAGAAAATTGCGCGAGGGAACCTAGAAGCTGAATACACAGAACTTGCAAGCGAAGCTCTGGAGATAAGATCAGAATTAGATATCAGGAACCTCGCAAGAGACGAGAACGAAATCATTAAGTCTCGTGACGAATCAATATCTACGGTTTTTAATAAGGGATTTCTCGTTAAAGAGAACGCTAGTCTTAAAGATGAAAATGCTTTACTTAAACAGCAGATTAACAACTACAAATGTATTACATCGGACTTGAGAACAAAGGTCAAAGATTTAGAAAATGAAAAAGACAGCTTGGTCACCGTCATTAAAATTCTACAAAGTGAGCAAGAACAACACAAAACTGAGGCATTGTCATCGTGGAATGTCGTAAACAGACACAAGAAAAGCACTAAAAGCCGAAACGCCTTAGAACAAAATCCCAGTGGAAAACATCAACGACACGATTTGCAATTACAAAATCAATTCATTGATCTGAGTGATTGCGAAAGCGACGGCAACGAAAGCAACACAGATATATCAGCCAAACATGGAGAGAAGCCAAGGCAAAGCGGAGACAAACCAAACCAACGCCGAAGCGGGCAAAATAGTCGAAAGATCGAAAGACGCCAGCAATCCAAAGGAAACATACAAGATCGTCAATCAAATTTGGACGAACGGAAAGATAAAAGCGAACCCAAAGCGACAAAACAAAGGGCAACCTAACATTGTAATCTTAGGGGATTCAATGTTAAAACATTTAAATCCCCGACGAATTCAGCAAGGAATTGACCAAAAGATATCAATAAAAACCTTTCCTGGAGCTGGTGTTGACGAAATGACCCACTATGTTAAACCGACGCTCCAAAAGAAACCAAAGCATATTATCCTGCACATAGGTACCAATGACCTGCAAACGAAATCGCCAGATGCGTTAATTAAAGCTGTGACAAAACTTGGAGAGGCTATAACGCAAGAAATAAGTGGTATTGAACTTACGCTGTCGGAAGTCATCACAAGAACCGACGATTTGCAACTTGCTGATAAGGTAAACATTTACAATAATAAATTAGACAATCTATGTACTGAACGCAATTGGGGATTTATTACACATAAAAGTATCACTAAGACTCATTTAAATAGCTATGGTTTGCACTTAAACCAAAGAGGAACAACTGCACTGGCAAGAAACATAAAACAGTTTTTAAAAAATCAATCCTTAAATTGAAATCAAGCCGCGGTCAAGAATACTGATAGTAATAAGCATACTGATCGATTAAAGGATTCAAGATCGCTCATTTAAATGTACGAAGCTTAATCAAGCATATCGATGAACTAAGGCTGTATCTTTATAAACAACAATTTGAAATAATTAGCGTTAACGAAACCATGCTTGACCTGTCTGTCTCAAATCAAGAGATCAAAATTAATGGTTATGATATTGTGAGAAAAGACAGGAATAGGCATGGTGGTGGAGTCGCAATATACATAAGAACCTCAATAAACTTCATAATAAGAGACGATTTAACTGACGATAATCTCGAAACAATTACACTTGAAATTTCAAAACCAAAACCCAAACCATTCTTAATTAATAGTTGGTATAAACCACCCAATACAACACTTGAAATATTCAATGCATTCGAGGATTTAATTACTCGAATGGACTCTGAAAACAAGGAAATAATTTTACTTGGAGATTATAACTGCGATTGGTCTCGCTTGGATAGTAACAGCGCTAACGCTCAGACAAACAAGCTTGCTGGAATTGCACAGACATTCCAATTTCAACAATTAATTAGTGAACCAACGCGAATTGCAGCTAATAGTAAAACCTTAATAGATCTAGCATTCACCAATAAACCGGAATTGATAAATGGCTCGGGTGTCATTCATCTGGGGATAAGTGATCACAGCTTAATCTATATACAGAGAAAAATTTCCGTTCCCCGTAAAGAGCCAAAAGTGATTAAATCAAGAAATTTCAAACACTACAACTCAAACAACTTTAAATCAGACCTTTCCACATACTTATATGATCAA